ATTCAAATATAGTCATCATTGAATACAAATGCAACTCTGAAAAATTTTTATGACCCTCCCTAAATATCTAATTGACATCTAGCTTCCATCAACATTTGACAATGTTGATATGCGTTTCTTCCACTGTTTTAGACGTGGATTGTAACCTTGTATATAAGTGATGTTAACTAACATTATCATCATTTTCTACAAGTTTATTTACACAGTCTGCAAGAAATGGAGAGGTGTTTTTTTTATCTTTGTGACATTTATAACTTTATAATTCTTCCAGTATTTTTTTAAGTTTTGATTTGCTTCCTTCTAACAGGCAATGTGGAAAGAAGCCAAATCTTATTGGCTAAATCAATAAATCATTTAAGCTTCATTAGTTTTACATTCATCTAAGTTGTCACTATATTGCAACATATTAAATCATGCATTTTTAGAAAATTGAAGAGTTCATTCAGTAAATTGTTCTGAAAGATGTTAGGAAATATAACAATGAATAATTAATTATTGCATAGATACTTAATCTTTTCCTATAATAATGTTATGATATTAATTTTTTCCCCTAGAAATTTTATTCTACAGTTTAGAAGAATCAGAAGATAGATAAATGAGTAAACCAATTACAATAATCCTAATTTTTGTTTAATTTTTAAGTAGTGTTTTCATTGTTAAAACAACAAAATATTAGTAAGATTTGGAAAAGAATTTATCAGATTAATTAGAATTATCAAAAGACCTATTTATAACACATCATTTATTTATTATTTCTGAATTTGGATATCAGAAGACAATGATTAAAAAATTAATAATGATATAAAAGAGCAATTCTTAACTTAAAACTTTCTTTCATCACAAAAACCAAGACAACCATAATATGTCAGGTAAAAAAGTAATCAAAAATAAATATCATCTGTTTGGTCTGTAGTCCAGTTTAATTAATTCTTAATTTAGTGAAAGTTTTCTGTATTAAACAGGCTACGATGAATAAATTTCAACAATCTTCAAATGATATAATTTTAAATTTATGAACTGATCAGAAAATAACTGGATGAAATAGTTTGAGAATTCAGTAGTTATCTCAACTAATTTAAAATATACTGTAAAAGTTATTTTTTAACAGCTGGGAAAGTTTTGCAACTTGTTGCTGTATTTTTGCTTTGGTAGTGTGTATCAGCAAGAAATTTGTGTTGGAATGTTGTTACCGAGCGTGTGATAATGAGTTTTCCTCTATAATCATTGTCCTTTTAAAATAGTTTTTGTTGATTGACTTGATCTTGTTGCAATAATGATCTTTCTGTNTATAAATTCAAATAAATAAATGGAACAAAATGGCAAAAGTATTTTAATTAACATTTGAAGATTTGTATTTTATTACAAGTGCAAATATTTTAAATTTTAATATCAGATTGGCGTAGCAAAATCAAAAATGAAATTTCAAATGGGAAACATACCAAAGAATAAATTTTCTTCAGAAGCTTACCTAGGAAGTTTTATTTTCTAATAATAGAGGAAATTTTTCTCACTAAATGTCAGCTTTGATTTCAAATGATATTAAGATATTTTGATTTAATAGCTTTGCACTTATGTACTTCAAAATTTCAAGTTTTATGTGTACTTTCAGGAATCTCTCTACAAACAAATACAGAACAGATACCTAACAGAACAAATAGGCTGTCAGATAAATTTTATTTTGTTAAAGCTATTATTTGAACTCTGACGTTAGATATCAGAATTTTATTTTATAGTAAATCTAACAATATATTTTATGGTTTTTATCTAAATTAAAAAATGCAAAGATAATGTTCAGAAAATATTTTTGAAGAATTGCTCTATAATTTCTAAGAAAAATATAAAATAATATACTATAGAAAATCCTATTTTTAACAAAACTGTGTGACAACATCATCATTTCAAGAATTCAATTTTAAATTTCAATCCAAAAATACATTTATCATTGTATTCAGTTATATTTAAAAGCTATTGATGAAAACTTTAGATAAAAAATACAGGAAAAGTTAACTTTATGGCTTGTAATTACAATTCAATCAATTGCTAATATCTTGAAGTAAAAAAAAATATTATTTTTAGTGACAATGCCATATTACTAACAAAACCCATACATACAAACACCTACAGTATTAAGGAGTCAGAGATTCTAATCAAGGAAAAATATTTTTAAAACTAGTTTATTTCATCCCTAACAGAATGAATGAATAGAATAAATTCAAAATTTATAATAATTAAGACAGCAAATAAAAGGCAAAAACAAATACAACTAAAATAATTTACCATTTAAATGCCTGAACTGTACGCATCACACTTGCATAAATAATAATATAAACCAATAGAATTCTTTAAAACAGTTTAAAAAATGGGATGATAGAAATAAACTGCAAATTTAACCCACAATCTAACTTTAAATCATAAATTGGAAGTAATATAGTATTTACTGAGTCCTAGTTTTTTAACTAATACACAATAATATGAAATAAATTTTATTGCTAAAAATTTTAACAAATTTACATTTTTGAATAAAAAAAAATATATATATGTCTTACAGATGTGTCAAGTTAGGGAACAATAGAGTAAAAATTGCCTATTCTGAATAATTTGTATTTTAGAAAGAATCTTTTATAGTTTTTTTTTTTGTTTTAAACAGCCCATGTAATGCCTTTCAGCAAAACATTCAATGTAAGTAATGGAATCAAACAGTTTTGCAGGTACTGCACATCTTGTTGAGATAAAGTGAGACACCCTCTTGCTTTGGACTGGAACAGTCTGAAAATTGGTGTGGAAAAGTAGATACCACTAACTGTCTGAAAATTTCATGGAAATCTGATACTTAGAATCACTTTGGATAAAATAAATATTAAAATTTGAGTCAGGGAAGTTGAAAGTAACATAACTTGGTATCAGGAGACCATGAAAAACTTTGACTTTGAGAAAATTTGAGTATTTTTGAGTTATGAAATTTTCATATTTAGAAAAAAAATAAGGATACTATTAATTGCACATCATTGCTGTTGTAATCTAAATTGCTAATTTTTATTATTAAAAAATCATTTAAAAATAAAAAATTAAAAAATTTTATTTATATCACTATATTCAGGAAACAGACATATAATTGTTAGGTTATCCCAAAAGTAGATAGATCAAGAACATCTTGAAATTAAACAGAATGGGTTCCAGGACAGGCTTACAAGATGAAAATTGTGAATGGAGGACAAATTTATTTGAGAAGAGAGACATTAAGGATGTATTGAATAAATAGGCTTGAAGTAAAAATAATAAAATTTAAAGAAATTAATTTTTTTACTACCAAAAAATATTAAAATATATATATATATATAAAAATGGACATGTATGTCCCTATATTTCACTTTTTCGCAAAAACTACACATCGCACGTGAATGGTGTTTGTATGTGGTAGTAGCCCCAAGTCTCTATTCGTGCATAGGGGTGGTTGCGTCTCGATAGCTATAAGGGTGCGAGAGATATGGGCTTGAAAGTGGTTGAAAGTGGCTTTCTATTTCGAATGTTTTGTTCAAATTTGTTCGAATTAAATTTGAACATAAAATTCGAATATCGGTTCGATTATAGAACGATCGTAAACGTTCCAGAAACGTTGAAAATAGTTTGTTTGACCGGACGTGAATAGGAGACGTTCAGAAATAGAATCGGGACCAGGTCTCTAATTAGTCTGGAAACGGGGGACCTAATTCTTGCATTCTGTGAAAATGGGTAAGATTGGCTATAATGTAATTATCTTAATCTTCACTATCGTTACTGTTTGCCCACAAATAAAAACCCAGCGAAGCGGGTCCTTGCAGCTAGATTCTAGATTACTTAGAAAAACAGTCTTTTATATATAAAAAAAACTAATTACATACAAATGTACGAACAAATAAAAACCCAGCAGAGCGAGTCCTTGCAGCTAGTATATATATATAATACTAACCTTTAACTTCAGTCTTTTTATTCTAACTTCAAAACATTTTCAACCTTTTTAAAATGACTGAAGTTAAAGAAAATTGAAAGTTATTGTTACATTTGTTATGTTTTTCCTTCAGCTTGGTGATATTAAAAAAGTTAATTATTGCATTTTTCAAAGTTACTTAATCTTGACAGTAATTCTTGGGCATTTTGTAAAATAGAGGATATTTTTTAAAATAAAAATGGAAGACAGACATGTCTCTTTTTGGATACCTATGTCATGGGTCCGGGTCTCCAACATTTTTGGCTGTTGATCCCTTTAAGGATTCCTCAACCTTTTATCAACTTCCTCTGCTTTTTTGCTAATATGATAATAATAGATAAATAAGGTAAGCCAGTATTAATCCACACACTGTTTTAATAGAAAGGATCTACTTATGGTGTGCAAACCTACAACATTCGAAATATACATATCATATACATAACTCATTGGACTAATATATTTTAATGAACCATTTTCAATCAACCCCAAAAATGTCTTACAAGTCCCAAGGAGTTGATGTTGACCATATGGAAATCCCTACTTAACAGTAATCCTATACAAGACCTAAAATATAACTGCTTATAATAATGATGATCAGTATTTCTATTCTTTTTAATTATCTTTTTTTTCAATAAATTTATCATCATCAAAAGTTATGTAAATGAATAATTTAGATAATTATATCTATTGATATATATATTTTTTAACTTAATATCTCAGATCACTGATCTGAGATATTAAATTGATGCTTGAGTCACTGAGCTATTTTAATCATTTTTAATTTTTTAAATCATTTTTAATCATTTAATTTTAAATCATTGATGCTTGAGTCACTGAGAATTTTTATATATAAAAATTTGAGACATGACTTATTCAATAAGTTTTTCTCATTTGAAACTTTATTATTATAAAAAAAATTTATTTCTTAAATTTAAAATATTTTACATAAATGTAAATAGCAACATAAAATTTATAAACTCCTGTTGCTGTAAAATGCAAGTATTTACAAATATTTGTAAATATTTATGATACAATTTCATGTAATTGGATTGTTTGCTTTGCGCAATGAAAGATAATCATTTACAATATCAGGAGAAAGGGTCTTTATCTTTGCATATTCTTCTGAATTTGAATACCTCAATTTTGTGACAGGATCGGTATAGTTTGCCTAAAAGAAAAAAAAATTAATGTAATAATTTAAATTATAATGTTGAGATTTTAAAACTAAACCTCAATTTTAAAAGGATTAAAAATCAAAAATAATCATTTCTATATCAAATTCTCAATCTTACAATATGCAAAATAAGAAAAGGCTTTCTCACAAATTTATAAGAAACCTACTTTATCAAACCTACAATGGAAAAAAACCTCACTTTCAGATGGGCAAAGGCCACTATTATAAAATATTTCTCAAGACAAGAATATGATTTTTTCAAATACAGTATGGTCTTGTTTTCATGGTGTTGCATGTACTGCATAAAATGAAATTCCATGTAAATTTGTGTTTCAGATGATTAGCTGGACTCTTATGCAACCATTAACATTAACAGAAAAATATTAAAATTTGTTTTAAATGTTTTAGTTATGTTTCTAATACAATGAACAACATTTTAGTCCAATATCTTTGAATATACAGAGTAAAATTTTTTTTATACTGTATCAAGTACTGTATATTACTTGAAACACACTACTGCTATGCATATATTTTTCTCACTTTTTTCTATTTTCTTCATGTCTGCACTAGAACTGCTTCTATTTTCATTTCAACTTCATAATTTTTTTCCTCAAAGATAGCTGTTAAAAATTGCTTCTTATTTTTATTATACTGTTACTTTTTCTCCAAAATTAATTTCATATAATAAAAATAGTCAACTTTTAATGGACTTTTCAAATTCAATTTGAAAAGTCCGTTAAAAGCTGTCAATTCGAAAACAAAGGTATTCGATTTCGCCTGAAGATGACGGTTGTAAACTGTTGAAAGTACTAGCAAGCACATCTGAAATTTGACAAATCGCTGTCAATAATGCCACAACACGGAAGTGTCATATTTTTAAAAATAGTCAACATGTGAAGTCAGAACTATCCCTGTGCATTCAAGAATTAACTATTCATAGTCCACAAAAACATGAATCTGCATAAAATATGATTCAACTGTACATATAACTCTAGAATGTTCAGGCCTAAAGCAAACTATTTTGCAATGTCTCTTGCCAATGTTTAAAAAATTAGAAACTTTATTTAAAGAAAAAATAAATTTGGAATCACATTAGTTTTTTTGACATGAGAGAGTATGCTTTGATCCATGAGCATTTTTTGGAATCAGATATATACACAAACTTTAATTTCTTATTCAACATATAATAATCCTTAAACATTTGCATTATGTATAAATTAAAATCAATAATAGTCTTAAAATTTAATTCAGTTTAATTTTACATTTTTGTGTACATTTAAAATATTTTTAATTAATTAATTTAAATAATATATAGTTTANACCAAAGAATAAATTTTCTTCAGAAGCTTACCTAGGAAGTTTTATTTTCTAATAATAGAGGAAATTTTTCTCACTAAATGTCAGCTTTGATTTCAAATGACATTAAGATATTTTGATTTAATAGCTTTGCACTTATGTACTTCAAAATTTCAAGTTTTATGTGTACTTTCAGGAATCTCTCTACAAACAAATACAGAACAGATACCTAACAGAACAAATAGGCTGTCAGATAAATTTTATTTTGTTAAAGCTATTATTTGAACTCTGACGTTAGATATCAGAATTTTATTTTATAGTAAATCTAACAATATATTTTATGGTTTTTATCTAAATTAAAAAATGCAAAGATAATGTTCAGAAAATATTTTTGAAGAATTGCTCTATAATTTCTAAGAAAAATATAAAATAATATACTATAGTGGAATCTCATAACAAACTTGAGGAGAAACCAAAAATATTTGCTAAACTGAAAGCTTGCTATAATGAAAAATTTGGCAGTTTTTAATATTTTGCATAATATTTTTCTCTGCTTGATTTGTGTCTTTGGTGCACACATTGATTTTGAGTATATTAAAGTCCAAAAAGAGTATAGTAATATGATTTTATTACCATTATATTGCTTTCATATTCCTTAATTTTCTATAGATATGTGCAAATTGTATCTAATATATGCAAGTTTTAGATCAGGGGTGTCCAACCCGTGGCCCAAGGCAAGTTCCAATGCAGCCCAATAAACATGTAAACAAAAATCGACAAATGTTTTAATGTTTTTTATTATTTATTTATTTCAACGGCATAAACTCAAAAAAGAAGTTTCACAAAGCCATAAACTATTTCCTTTCACTCAAAAATATGAATAAAATCATATTTTATTTTTGAGTGGAAAGGAAATATTTTCAAATACTTGGAGATGTGTGAATGAGGAAGGATTACTAAATAAAGCTGGAGTTGTGACTCAAAGGATTATATACCCAAATTTGGGGAAAGGAGGAAAAGGAGAGAAAGGACAAAAGATAAAAAGTAGTGAGAAAGGTTAAATAGATCTTCTGTTGTGCAAATATTGACCCTTAATTTTCCAACCTTTCTCACTTCTTTATCTTTTGTCCTTTCTCTCCTTTCCCAAAATTTGGGTCTATAATCCTTTGAGTCACAACTCCAGCTTTATTTAGTATTTCTTCCAGCATTGCAAAATTTGGCTACATTGTACCAAATGTGGCAACTTTTTTTAGTTTGACGTAAAAACAGCATTTGGCACTTTGGCTTTTTTTAGGTTATATATTATTTATAAATATATTAGTTGAATAAAAATGCACTTTAAAATGGTGTTTTGTCACTTTTTTATTAATTAGAGACCCAAATAAAACAAATATTTGTGTTTTTCTAATAAATTTTCATTTGTCTCTTTTATAATAAATGAATTTATCTATTTCTAAGTAAAAATTGAAAGTGCTGTAGAAGTAATTTTTTAAAATATCCTTTTTTGTGATAAACTTTTAATACTTATTATTATAATCTAGACATGTTAATCCTTAAATATGTGTACTTAAATATACTTGTACCCAATATACAAGTATATTTAAGGATTAACAAGTATATACAGTAGAGCCTCGAAAACTCGGCACTCCGGATAACTCGGCCACACCCTGGCAGGGCAAAAAAATCCTTAGTTAATTACTTTTCATGATAAAGACAGCTTTATGCCTCAAAGTATTTTTCTGAGGTCTGTCTTATCAGGTAAATTACTGTACAGTGTATTCATTAATTTTCATTTTCATGTAGTAAAGGCTCTATGCCTTCATAAAAGACGTACTTTTCCTTTGTTTAAGGATATTTGGGCAGTTTATTCTTTGTTGTATTCTCGAGCAAACAATACATACAAGTATAGTACAGTATTTTCTGAGGACTCCACACTCATACTTATTTTTTTAACGCCATTCCCGATAACCCGGCATTTTCACAAACTCGGCCACCCTTCGGTCCACATTAGGCCGAGTTTTCGAGGCTCTACTGTATAATATATACTTGTGGCTCAAAACTCCTCGACTTCTTCCAATGTGGCCCAGAGAAACAAAAAGGTTGGACACCCGTTTTAGATAAAACTGCTTGTTCTAGGCAATATTTATATACTATATGCACCTAGTATCTTAGTTGAATATTTATCATTTCTAATTAAAAAATATACAAAAAACTTTCATTTGGAAATATAATTTTATCAGTTCTCTTAAATAGCCTTTTAAAATGACTGGAATATAGGGTGTACAAAAAATTTACACACTTTAATTGTTAATAACCTCTATCTTAATTTGCTTACTTTAATAAGTTTATAATTTAGAATTATAATAATATAAAATTAAAAATCTAAATTATAAAATTATTAAATTAAAATTAAGAAAATAAAAGTAGAGGATATTAAAGTGTACATACATTTTTTGGAGACACCTGGTAGTTTTATATATTTTAACTGGGAAATAGTCCCATTTGTCTTATATTGCTGCTATTCAATTTGGGATACTAATTTTCTTCTAATAATAATTTTATCTGTTCTTTTGGGAAGCTTGTTCAGCTATAAAAGCTGCATAAATCATTCCATTTAAACATTAAATTAACAACACTGGAAGAGTGATTACATACTCTCTCACTAAGACTTAATTATTACAATTTGAATAAAATTTTATAAATTTTTGCAAAAAGAAAATAGGCAAGTGTATGATATATACTTTTGTTCTAATGTTGACTTTTATTAAACTAACATGCAATATATATCTTGAAATGTATTCATTCATAACTATCATTTTTATCATTAACTTTTATTATTATACTTCTCTATAAAACTATTAATGTTTGATTTCCTATACCATATTATTAAAACAATAATAATAAATCTTTTATAAAATATAACAACATTAAAAAATATAACATCAAATAAAAAATAAGAATCTTCAATCTTTCTTCTCAATAGACTATTGATTAGTAGTCTTCTGTTTCATATATAAAACTGCCCTTCAAAATAAAATATAATAAATTTTATTTCTAATATATAACTCTTAATATTTATCTGATGATGCAGAAACAAGGCTGTAGTCTACCTGAAGAATTTTAAGTTTTTGTATCTAAAGAAAGAAAAAAAAACCTTCATCTTGAAGCAATATTTTATTTATATCTCCAACTATATCAAGATTATATATTTTTCAGTGGTTCCCAATTAGCTAAGAGCTATGGATCCTCCTCCATTTTTTAAAGGTAAGCCATAGACTCCAAACTTTTTGAAAATTTTGGTATCTGTATAGTAGCATCTGAGAAGTAGGTATAAATATTCAAAACAAACAAGTTAAACTATACTAACTTTTATTTATAACAAGTTATAAAATATGAAAGTCTAGCAGTTGTTCAATCTAAATATCACTGGAGAAATTGTATCTCTTTTTGTTTCAATCAATTCCTTCCATATTTGGTTTAGTATTTTCTATTTTTAACCTGAAGTCATGATCAACAGTATCAAGATGATTTCTATGCTTATTCTTCAGATAATAAAATAACAAAAATGTTTGTTCACAAAGATGTATGAAACAAAGTGAAACTAGATATTTCAAAGCTTTTATCCAGAAAACACCTTTATCCAGAACTGGTTAAATATACATTCCTTGAACAATGTTTTCAATGGGCCATCAACTTACATCAACAAGCTCATCTTGTTCTTCTCATCTACAGTTGTTAATTGTACTGCACTTCAAAAGGATTTCTTATCCACTTTCAAATTTTCATGAATCAAGGAAATAATCTCTGAATCCAGTCTCTAAATCACACAGGTGCTAAATGATGACATGTTTAATTTCTGGTGGTCATTTACCAGTGACTCCAAAAATTACTCTAATGTTGGGACATTACTGAGACTACAAGCTTCAATTCAGCTTGTCCATAGCTGTAATTTTATAATCACTGTCTCAATCTTATCTTGAACATAAAAATATTTATGTCACTATCTTGAAAACTTGTATTGAGAGTATTCAAGTATGCAAAGATATCTGCTAAGAAGCAAAGCCATGAATGATCAATCATTCATGGCTTAATCAGGATTTGGATGAAACTGGGTTTAAATAATAAAGGCGTATGATTGATGATAAATGCTAGAATATCAACTGACCAGTCATTTTTTTTTAAAATATCATTACATGTCAAAATTCAGAGTTTGATTTAGGTACTTTTTTGTTTTTTGTTTTTTTTTTTTTTTTTAAATTATAGGTCTTGATTAGAGGAACAAAAAGTCTAATTCACTTTTACTATAAAATCAATAGTTTAATGAGATTATTATAATTTTTTGTGATTTAAAAGGCTTTTTCTCTTCACACACAAATGTATGTGTGAAGAGAAAAACAGAAAATCCATTTTATTTAATGCAATATGATTTTAATTTTCCAAATGTTTTCAGTCATTTTAAATGACCTTCCTCAGAATAGAAAAACAGATTACAATTTAAAAATAAGAATGAAATAAAATGCAAGAATGAAAGCTCTTGCATTTTATATTATTATTATTATTATATATTTTATTAATGTAAGTTAATGAATGCATTGTAATATTTCATAAAATATTTGAAAAAGCATAAAAGGATAACAAACAAAATAAAAAAAACAAGCAACAGAAGTGAAAGAGAAAAGTAATATAAAGTAACACAGTAGATTTGAACTTGAATCATTTTCATGTCAAATAGAGGCATTTCTCACATAAATACAGAAGTGGTGAATTCTCCCGTATTTTAGTATTTTTAAAGTGTCTTTAAGTCACAAAAAATGTACATAATATTTCCATTAAACTACTGATTTTACAGTAAATGTGAATTAGACTTTTTGGTTCCTCTAAACAAGACTTACAATTTAAAAAAAATAAAAAAACTCAAAATTTTTTTTAAATGACTGGTTAGTTGCAGTCAATATTCTAGCATATGATCATTCATCATTATTATTTGATCCCAGTTTCATCCAAATTCATTCATGACCTTTCTTTGTAAGTATGCTACCATACACAATCAAGAAAAATTGTTTAACTGATAACATGGAAATTTAGAATCACTCTGAAATAGTCATACTTCATCGTGTGACTCAAAGTCAGTGGCAGTATTTTTCTTCTTGACAACTAGCACATTTCTGTATGCACAAGTAACTGTAAAGTAAAGTAAGATTTTGAAATTCAAAGAATAAGATTTGATAAAATTTATGATCTTAACACTCCAAGTACTTTCTTAATGGTCTGGCATCATCTTTATTATCAAAGCTTTCAAATAAATGTAAACAGTTTCATTTCATATAAGGTGCCACAGCCTCAGGGAACAATGTCCACTTTTCATACCCAACATAGTGCAAGCACTATCTGTTGCAGGCCTACAATTTCTCCAGTGAAACAGAATTCTTTGCAAAAAATCATTCAAGGCCTTAAAAATGCACTCTGCTGTACTTAAGTGAACTTCTATAAGTACAGCAGAGTGCATACATAATTTTGTCTTCTCATATGTTGCATATAAAGACTAGCTTGATAACATTGTAATACCAGTGATTTCATCAATTTGCAATGAAAAGTTGTTGTAAGTCTAGATCCTTAACATGAGTGTCTATTTTATGTAATCAGACATATCACATATTCTTCATTTCACTGGGTTTTAAAGATATACTTTGCTGATTTCTTTGGATGCTGACTTGCCAAGCAATCATTTGCAGATAACTACACAAGCAGGAGGGATCACCTCTTCATCTACAGTATGAGCATTCCACTTAGGTAATGATTTTTGCATCATAAGAAACCAAAGCTGCATTCTCTTGAGTACTTTCACCAAAATTTTTCTATAATTTTTTGATTCTTCTCCAACTATGCAGTTGGAATTGCAGTTCAGGAAAGTGTTCTGTTAAGACGTGTTGCTGATTTTGAGTAACTATTTTTTCATTCTGGTGCCTGGGTTAGGTAAACATTTAAAATAATACAGTAATAATAGTAATACAGTAGTACCTCAGGATACAAAATTAATCCGTTCCGAAACTGAGATCGTATCATGAAAATGTTGTAAGGTGAATCATTTTTTCCCATATGATTACATGTAAAACCAAATAATCCGTTCCAACATGAAAAACACACTCAAATTAAAGCTAAATAGTACATTGAAAAAAAATAACTTTAGTAAGGAAAACACTGAAAAATGCATTTTGTAGTTGTAAATGTATAAATAACCATAATAGAATAATAATTAATAAAAAAAATGTAGTTTTATTTGCACTTTACCTTTGAGGATAGACAACGGTGGAGGTGTAAACTGGTGGCGGAAGAGAGTGAGAAGGGAAATGATACTAAAACTTAAATTACATAACAAAATATAACAATTTAAAAAATTAGTGTTAAGTTATTTTTAACTTTTCTGTTTTATATATTTTTTAAATTTTTATTCACTGCTTTTTGCTTTCTTTCTTTCACTTCCACCAGCACTTTCACTGGATGGAGGTTGCTTGGTAAAATTTCTATCCAAAGAGGTTTGGCTTTGCCCACTTTTTAAAATGTTTCTAAAATGACTTAGGCAAATGTCATTACTCCGAGCAGCAATACAGCCAGTGTGAACTTTTTTGGGATGTTTCTTTTCAATAAAATCAGTCACTTTCTGATAATACCTCAAGATTTCCTTTATCGAGCGAGATCCTTCCATGACAAAGCAAACACGTGGACTGAGACCAATGAATAGAAGTGAATAAAAAGTGGCACTGTGAACTAATATAACGTCGTATGGTGAGTTTTTGTTCATACCATGGAGCAAAAATATGTTTGAATTTCATGCCGTATCCTGAAAATTTCATATGCTAAAGCGTTCATATCCTGAGGTACTACTGTATAGTAGGAATAATATATAAATAAAATTAAAGTTAATCCAGTAAATTAATACCTAAAGAGTTAGCATGGCTAAGTCTCAAGATATCATCATGGAGCTAGAAGAAGGAATAAAAGAGAAACTATTCACCATCAAAGAGTGTATAGAGGTTGCTCGCAACATGCAGACAGAACTTAAAGACAAAGCCATTCAAAGCCTGACTGGAGTAAGCTTTCTGATTCAGGAAATTGAGAAAAATTTTAATCAAGTCATCCAGCAGCAAAATTTCCGCATTGACTCCCTCCAGCAACCTGATAGAAATAACCAGGATTCTGGGGCTTTAAGTCCCACAACCCACAGCAGATTGTCATTGGCAACGGCAAAAGAGTGGAAACATCATTCGCACTTATTCGCAGAAAGACCGTTGTTCACCTCATGTAACTGCCAAATGGAGAGTCCATTGCTCAAGTTACGTAATGGCCAAACAGAAAGTCTGTTGTTTGCAGCGTTCATTATTAGAGGCGTACATTATACAAGGCACCACTGTATATGTATTTCGCACCCTCTTCTGGCTGGTTTTTCTAGCCTATATACCACATTAGCATAAGATTAGTAATTTGTTTCTACAGACAGGGATGCACAACCTTTTGTGAAGAAGGGCCAAATTAGGATTAAGTTTACTGACTGGGGACTGGACCTCCAAGTGATTAACGCGATGGCTGAGATTGGATGCTGGCGGCAATCTTCTTGATGTCTGGTGTAATGGCAGATGTTGAAACAACCAGCAGATTTTCCAAATTCTCGTTGATTAACCTGTTCCGTGTTTTGCACTTGTTTAAATTCATAAGCGAAAACTTGCAAGCTTGTTTGGCAGTACCTATGTATGCCTGTTCACATACATAGGTACTGCCAAACATGCTTGCACAAAATCGAGCATTGTCTTTCAGTTTTGGAAATGATGTATCTGGCAGTTCTTTGTAGAATGTGAGGAGATTAGAATTTTTGAACTGTGATTTCAATTCATCACTGCACTGGATGTCTATCAACTCAAGTTGGACATCTGGAGGGGCATCTTCCACTTTCACATCAAATGGAGTTGAAAAAAGTTGCAGGTAGATCTTGTATTTCTGGAATTCACCAAACCTCTCATTGAATGATGTAAGGAGGGTGTTAACTTGGTCAGAGTAATCCATCTTCATATGTGGGTATTTCTCTTTCATGGCCTTGCAATGTGGAAAGTGTGTAAAGTTCTCTGATTGCATGTGGGACTTGAAAAGTGATAGTTTGGTCATAAATGCATTGATGTTACTTGTCAACTGAGAAACAAGTTGCATCTTTCCCTGCAATCTCAAATTAAGGTCGTTTAGATAAGCAGTAATGTCAGCAAGGAAAGCTAAATCACACTGCCATCTTTGTCCCTCCAAATTCCTTGTAGTGTTCCCCCGTTCTTTGAGGAAAGTGATAATAGGCCCCAATAGCTCCACAAATCTCTTGAGGACTGTTGCCTTGCTCAGCCAACGAACTTCAGTATACGTGGGCAGGTCAGCATAATCAGCATCTATTTCTTCAAGAAATGATGTGAAGAGTCGATGGTTGAGTCCATGACGGCGGATTAAGTTCACAGTATCATAGACATCTTTCAGCAGACGTTCAAATCCCAGCTTCTTTGCACAAAGTTGCTGTTGGTGAATTATGCAATGATACTGGACTAACTCCTTTTGCCTGTCCCCAAGGTGGTTTTTCAGCAAGGTGACCATGCCATTCTCACATCCAACCATAGATGGTGCTCCATCAGTGGCAATGCTGGATAGCTTGTCAAAGTCCAGTGCTGATTTGTTGCAAATGCTCAATAAACCAGTAAGTAAGTCAGCACCAGTTGTATGTCCGGAAAATGATGCCATGCCAAGAAATTCTTCATTCACAATAAAATCTAGTGAAACACTTCTAATAAACACAATCACTTGTGCTGTCAGTGGATTCGTCCACAGCCAAAGAAAAATAAGCACAGTTTGCAACTAAAATATTAAGTTGGCCAGAAACGTCTGATGCAATTTTCGAGATTCTCAGTTGTATCGTCATGCGGTTAAGACTGATTGTTTGAAAACACTTCGTCTTCTCAGGACACATCTTCTCACTTGCAATGATAAGACACTTTTTTATCATATCGCCATCTGTGAAAGATTTTCCATTCTTGGCTATTAAAGCAGATATTTCTAGGCTGGCTTCAACAGCTGCATCCAATTCTCTAGATTGTTTCTTGAACACATTTTGTTGGCTGATTAGTGATCGTCGTAACAATTCGATTTTCCATTTGCGTTCCGTACCTTGCAGAAGGAAATCCTTGTGTTGGCTTTCATGATGTCGCTTCAGGTTGAATTCTTTTGGCACTGCTACTGTTCCATTGCACAAAAGGCAAATAATGCTGTTGTTCTGTTGCACAAAACAGTACAGTGGAACCCCGGTTAACGAACGTTGTGGTTAACGACCAAATCGGTTAACGAACTTTTATTTTGGAAAAATTTTGTCTCGGATAACGAACTTAACGGCTTTTTGTGTCAAATTTGTAAGCTTGCCGACTTTTAGGGAAAATCAGTTAATCGTGTGTCGGTGATGGTCTAGGGTCCATTCGTACGTTGGTGGTGGTGGAGGAGACAAAGATGACAAGTATTTTACAGTGAAAATCGTTTATTAGAATGGGAAAATGCTTACATATTTGAGGTAGTTGGAAATGGCTTATCTACAGTATTTTTTCTCGGCACTGAGGAGTGGCGTATTGCTGGTCCTACGATAGTGCAAGCTGATCAGTCGTAGCCCCAGAGCAGACAAGATGGGTTCGCTTGGTCACAGAAGCGATGGTAGGTGACAGAGCTGCAACAACTAGAGCGGTCCGCGAGACACAACACAAATTTTAGCAGGCACGACTTCAGGCTTAATCCAGATGAAGACGACACAGATTAATCGCCATAGAATTTTTAGGAAAACTGCGTTTTGACCTTGAGATTTGTGGTTTTTTATAGTATTTCTTCCTTGAATCTCACCTTACGATTAGTCCTGCTTCCCATTCCTCGCTTCCCGATTGTTTTCTTCTTTGTCTCCAGGAGAAAACTGAAACCAGATCAGGTCACGAGAAAGGTTTGTTCCGAGGCATTTATTTGACACCTGTTCGTCAACTCTGATCAGAGATTGTTGATAAACATGTAAGCCTTTCGCTCATAATTTAGCCTATTGTTTCTATCTGTCATTTTAGAACTTTAACGATTGTATGTGATGTTTTTATACCCGTCAAATCTTTCCCCTTTTCCGAAAATTTAACCTAGATCGATTGTTTATGAGCACTTTTTCCTATATTTTCATTAAAGAAAACCCATTTTACAAATAAAATTACAAAAATACTGACGGCTAAAACGGATTAATTGTATTTGCATTAATTTCTATGGGAAAATTGCTTCGGTTTACGAACAATTCGGTTAACGAACGGACTCGTGGAACGAATTACGTTCGTTAACCGGGGTTCCACTGTACTTGTTAGTCCACACTTCTTGAAATTGACGATTCTCGCGATCGACCTCGCGTTTAATGCCCGGCGCCATACTGTTCATTCTGCAAAACAATGTCTTGTTGTGCCAAAAATTCTGAGGCCCGCAATGAATCGTGTTTGAGATAAGGCAAACTAGACTACCACATGCTTTGTTCTGTATCCACTCTGACCAAAGACTAAAGAGGCAGGGACAGAAAACTATTACGAACACATGACAAATGGCCAGGCAGGTCTTAATTCGTTCGACCCCTGTCCGGGCGTCTCCACCATTTCTCAGAATTTGTGAGTCAGATCGTCAACATGCCAGGTGCAGGACACTAATCCATCATAAATGTGGTTACCATTCTTACCTAAATTATATTTATGGCCCGTCAGTTTTACCCCCGTGTTCAGAAATGAATCAAAAGTGATTAACGCGGTGCAGCGGAAAATCTGAATATTTTAAATATAATTATTAAAATTGCGATATCTCGTTTCAAATTGGCGCTAGAATCAATCTGTTTTTTGTTTTCTGTCACAAATATATCACAGTTTACGACTGTTAAATTTCAAATAAAATAAAAATTAAAAATAATAATTTAATTTTAAATTTACGAAAAAAAGAATGTAAAAATAAAAGTAAATAAAAAGTTCCAATTAATTTACTACTTAAATAACCTAAATATATCTGTTTTCTTTCAAACAAAAAAAACCGCAGCTTTCTAGCTACACGGAATCATTTTACAACCCTCTTTGTTGACAAGTTTATGGCTTGACGCGGTTTGTAATAATTATTAAATCCAAAATATTTTAATGCAAATGGCTTCCTTTTAGTCGTAATGACTCTATTCCAACTACAGTATTAATTTTCTTGGTCCAACTTAATAATAATAAATTTGATGTGAAATTTTTTTTTTCTATTTTTAGTCTATGGAGAGATATTGTTGTAAATTATTGGTTGTTATAGCTTTTTGTACATTTCTTTTTGAACTCTGGTTAGTTTTTTCTAGTTTGAATGACATTAGGTTGACGAATAAGCGTCTTTTCAGAAAAGATTGATTCAAATTCGACAATACCAATCAGAATCTAGAATGTAAACAAATCATAAAAAATCGTTATTTTCATAGTTTTTCAGCGCTATTTTCATTTATTTTTGTTATTTGACGCTATTTAGACGAATAAGCAAGTTTTCCGAAGCATAAAATTGAAGATTTCCCGCCAAAATAGAAACTTCCTGATAACATCGGAAATGACGTTCTAACATCATTTTATTTTATTTGATTCTTCAAAAAATCGTTATAATACTATGTATTAGACTTAAAATATTGGATATCTAAACCAGAAAGTGTTAGCTAGAAATAAACTTATTTATAGAACAACCCCCCATTTCTCACTTCAGGGAAAGTTATAAAACAGTTGGGTGCTAATGACTTTGTGAAAGGGAAAAGTTTTACACTTAGAAACTTCGAAAGAAGGGATTTGGCCTGTACCGTCCGCGGGCCGCATAAACATTGATAAGGGGCCGTACGTGGCCCGCGGGCCGCAGGTTGTGCACCCCTGCTACAGAGGTGTATTGTTTCTCTCCCATTCCAATCATCCCCCCCAACAATGTTGGCAGGATTTCTCTTAACCTCTGTAGCCTAAGCCTTACTCCTGCTTATTCCTGTTCACATATTCCTTTATTATTCATATATTCCTTTTATTTGTTCTTACAAATAAATCAAAATTTTTTGCATTTCTACCCTGTCTTAATACAAAACAATACAATTTGCAATATTAATCTTCTCATTTTAGCTTTTAGCCAAAATATGAATAATAGCCTAAACATCTTATAAAAATCTATATCATCATCTATCTAAATCCTGAGTCATGAAAGCTTTTAACACCACTTTACCAACTGTCAGTAACAATATTATAATTTATAATTAAAAGAAACCCTTTATTATGCCAGCTTAATTCTATCATCTCCTGTTTTTTCTTTTTGAAAAAGATATACACATATTAATATCTTAAGGGATTAATTAATATCTTTTGCATTTATATAATACATCAAAATTGTATAGTAAAATTTCACAATAAAACACATTTACTGCACTTTGATTTTATAGCCAAAACTCCTTGAAATAGTATGGATTGTAGATAGGTTTTTGTGCACACACAAAAATTACTGTCTCCATGCATAGTAAATCATTAATGCTATCTGGTAATTTTTTGGAATTATTATGAATAATAACACCTTTACAGCACCTTTGCTCTGCAGCCATCACTCCCTTAAATAATATGTTTTTGTTAGGTTCCTTCTTCACATTTCACATTATAATACATTTTACATTTCTCATTGTTAGTTCTTAGGCCTCTGATTCTTGGTTAGTTCTGAGAGCACTAAGAGGCCTCTCTTAGTGCTCTCAGAGCGAGAAGAGGCCTCTTCTATGGAACTGCAAGAAAAAGAAAAGAAAGAAAGAAAAAGAAAAAAACTATGCAGTTGGTAGAAGCAATGTAATTTTGTAAGGTTAGATAAGATAACCATATCTTTCAACTTCTTGGCCCATATAAGGATGGAATTATTATCTTTCAGCCATTTTTTGCTGGCAATCAAACAATGTAAAACAGAACTAGGTGTGATGTAATTTGAACTATTTCATACAGTAAGAGCAATCTTCCATCTAAAATATTCTTTTTGGATTTCACTGAGCCCCTCAATTGCATGTTCAACTTCAGGAATGATGTTTTCAGGTTTGACTCTTAGATGCAGCAGACACATTGGGCTCTATCAGATAACCTCCAGGAGACAGTGCAGAAGGATGAGATCATCCCAACAAATCAGAGTTAAGAAAGGATGTCCAGTGCATAGGTCTTTGGTGCCAAAGGACCCAATGGACATTATTATCATATCTGATCTTCAAACATGAGGATACCTGATGGGACCAACCAATCACCTATGCATTGACTTCAATTAATAATTCTACAGAACTGTTATAAAGGACATGGCAACAAGTTGATGTAGAAGAGTGTATCTACAACATCTGACCCTAATGACCCTTTCTTTCAAACCTTAATTTTGGGAGGAGAGAAGCACAATCAGCAGGAAGGCATATTCTCCATATAAATATAGGTTTATCATTAAGATTCAGCATTCATTTAGGAAAGTGAATTTTATGTCATTCATTCAAATCTTTAAAATGAACTTATGATACATTTTGGTCAGCATAGTTATAATGTAAAAATAGAAACTGCAAATAAATTCAAACACTCATGAAACCTTTAAAAACAGCAAAAACAATTTAATTACAAATATTTTCAGTCATTTTTAAACACCATCTTCAAGTAAAATACAAAATTGAACTTAGCAAAAATAGAATACAACAAGCAATTAATTATTGTGAT